TTTTGATTACATGACTATGAACAATTAAGACAACTCAATTGGATTTAATGTTTTAAATAGCTTTCGAATTGTTATTACCTTGTTTTAGATATTACTGTTCATTTTCTATTCTCAACCTATTCTTATTGGACAATGTCTGGCGAAGCCCTACCGGACATAAGAATGGAGGTCATGTAATGGTGTTCTAACATTTTTTATAAAATAATGTTTTCATAGTCTATGCTTAGGAAAGATGGATTGTTTACAAAGTAGTTAAAGTACTTAAAGTAGGTGGGTGGAAAGTTTATGGTAACCGCAGATAGGTTATAGTTAACTGCATTTTATAAAACATCTTTCTTTAAAGCCCGAATTGAATAAATGTTATTGAGTTCAATTCATTTCAAATATAATTTGTTAAATCCCCAGAGTTGAAATAGTTAACCATAGTATGAAGATTGTGGTGAAGTCAACGCCCTAAGACCTCTCTCTCTATGATTACTTTAGTTTAATTTTAGTTTATAATCATGATAACCAATCAAACAATTCAACCGTTTACTTGTAAATTAATAGAGATTAATTAAAAGTAGAGCATAATAACTCATCTCCCTGTGGGTTCAACACCCTCTTCATAATGTTATCCTACAAGGATTCGTTCTATTGCGAGTGGTTATTTTATTATTGGTAAATGACTAACACACGATCAATTTTTGGCCTCGTTGCCAGGGAGATTTGTTTATTTATTTAGTTTTTAATTAGTTTACTATTTTTGCTTTACCAGTCTTCAGACTTTTTGATATCTCACCTTAATTCTTTTTCTTTTCAAGTGAGGACAAAGACGCTTAAAGGATAAAAGCTTTGGTTTATTAAACCTTCTGTGAGATTTTGTTGTTTTCTTTTACTTGAAATTTTTTATTTTTGTCATTATTAGGATTAGTGGAATTAGTGCATGTTAACTTGCTATACTTAGTCAAAACCTTTAGTGCATGATCCTAAAATAGAGAGAACTCTTAGTCAACTAAGAAAACTTTAAAAACATTTAAATTAAATAGGAAGCTCCTCTAATAACATGGCTAATAATCGTGTTATACCAGGTAATGGTAATGGTAATGGTAATGGAGAACGGGTTCTACCTGTTCCTTCATAACCATAATTGAGGGTTCATTTTATTCTAACCACATATACTTCTCCTTCATGCTTTGTATTTCCTGATGCTGATGCAACCTATTTTGAGATCAAGCCTGCAATGATCCAAATGCTTCCTACCTTCCATAGGTATGTAACAGAGCATCCTTATACGCACTTGGATGTATTTTTTGAATTGTGTAAAACTACTAAGTTGACCACTCTTACCAATGATTCATTCAGGATGCAACTTTTCTAATTCTCTCTCAAGGACAAAGCAAGAACTTGGTTGTAGTCCCTTCCACTAAATTCCATATCTACATGGGACATGTTGCAATAAGAGTTCTTGAAAAAGTACTACACAGTGGGTAAAACCTGTCAAATGAGTAAAAAAATCATGGCATTTTCCCAAATCCCAGGAGAACAACTCCATGATACATGGGAAAGATATAATGATCTTCTATGAAAGTGTCCACACCATGATATTGCTAAATGGCACTTAATACAGATTTTCTATGATAGTCTTTCAGATTCTTATAGAAACATAGTTGATGCATCTAGTAATAGAGCATTTCTGTGTAAGAGTCCAGCTAACGCTTGGGAGCTGTTTGAGGCCCTAAGTGAAAATTCAGTGCAACATGCGTCTTCCTCTAGGTCTAGGTCTTCGCCTGGAATGCATAAGGTCGAAAAACTCTATGAGGTAGACAAATCTAGTGAGTTAGCCGCTCAAATAGAAGCTTTAAATCGTAGGTTCGATCAAATCTTATCATCTGGCTTTGCTCTTGTTGCTAATCCACAAACTGCCGTGCCAAAGGAAGTTTGTTTAATCTGTGCTAATCCTTCCTATTTTGTTAACACTTGCCCTATGATGGGACAATCATCTAAGATCCCATAGGAGCAAGTGAATACTGCATTCTCCAAACCAGCCTATAATCCATATTCTTCTACATATAATTCTGGTTGGAGAGATCATCCTAATCTATCATGGCATAATCAAAGTCAAGGAACCACTGTTCCTCAATCACAGGGACAATATCAAAATTCATCCAATCTTATACCACAAAATAATTCTTTCAATCAATCTAGTATTTATCATCCACCTCAGTTTAGGAATCAACCCACTCAAACTCCTAATCTTCCACCTCCTCCTAGAAATTCTGCTTTTGAAGATCAAGTACTTAATGCTCTTGTTGATCTTAAAGCCAATACCCAACTTCTTAATTCTCATTCACAAGCCATAGCAAAGCTAGAGACACAAGTTAGGGCAAATAACAAATACTCTATCTCAAAGAGAGGATGAAAAACTGCCTAGTCAGCCAGTAGCTAACACGAAAGGGCAGACTTATATGATTGATGGAACCAATTCCTCAGGTATTCATCATGAGTAAGTTCAGACTATTACTACATTAAGGAGTGGTAAAGTGGTTGATAATAAAGTTGAAAAAGGATAGGAAAAAAAAAAAAAAAAAAAAAAAAAAAAAAAAAAAGAGAAGCTTAGGGTTCCCATTGTTCCTATCATTCATAATCCATATCCTAAGGATGTTTCCTCAAGTTCTATTCCACAATCCACCACAGGAGTTGAAGGTGGAGTCATTTCTTCATCTGCTCCTAACCTTGAGACAGCTTATGAGCCAAGAGCGCCTTATCCTGAACGTCTCAAGGAACCCCCCACTTTGGTAAGTAAAGGGAGAAAATTTAAGATATGATGGAGGTCTTTAAACAGGTCAAAATCAATCTTCCTCTGCTTGATGCTATAAAGCAAATTCTAGCCTACTCCAAATTTTTAAAGGACTTGTGCACTCTCAAGAGAAAATCCAAAAGCTAAGTTCCTAAGAAAATTTGCCTCACCAAGCAAGTCAATGATATTCTAAAGTACAACACTGCTCTAAAGGTTAAAGATCCTGGTGCTCCTACAATTTCTTACATCATTGGAAACAATGTGATAGAACGAGCAGTTCTTGATCTTGGAGCAAGTGTGAATCTTATTATTTAGTCGGTGTATGAAAAACTAGGTTTGGGATAATTAAAACCTACGTCGATTATTCTACAACTTGCTGACCGTTCTGTTAGACAACCACGAGGTATTGTTGAAGATGTACTCATAAAAGTGGACACGTTCTTTTTCCCGGTTGATTTCTTAGTTTTTGATACAGAACCGGTCCACGATTCCAAAAAATATATTCCATCATTCTTGGGCATCCTTTTCTAGCCACAATGAATGCTTGAATTAACTGTAGGACTGGAGCCATGGATTTATCTTTTGGAAATATGAAAGTTAAGCTGAACATCTTCAATGCTATTCATTATCCCTACGATGATAGTGAATGCTTCTTCCTTGATGTTATTGATGAGTTGGTTGAGGAATCACTCCCAACTATTTTATCCAAGGATCATTTAGAAGCTTGTCTGAATTACTTCAATTATGAAGACTTCGATATCAAATCTTCAATAGCTGAAGTGAATTCATTGCTCAACTCTACTCCTATCACAGATTTTCCTCCATGGAAATCTAGACTAGAGCCTCTTCCACCACTTTCTAGTACTCCACCTATTCCTTCCTTAGAGTCTCCACCTAAACTTGAGCTTAAGCCACTATTGGACAAGCTTAAGTATGCTTTCTTGGGTTTAAATGACACCCTCCCGATGATCATTGCTTCTAATCTTACAAGTTTCCAATAGAGTAGTCTCTTAAAAGTTCTTGAGCAAAATAAAGAGGCTATTGGGTGGAGTGTAGCTGATTTAAAAGGAATTAATCCCACAATTAGTATGCATCAGATTCATTTAGAGAAGGATTCCCGAACATCTCAGGAACTCCAAAGAATATTGAATTCTAATATGAAGGAGGTGGTTTTGAAGGAAGTTGTGAAGTTGCTAGATGTGGGAATAATCTACCCCATCTTAGATAGCAAGTGGGTGAGTCCTACTCAGGTAGTACCTAAAAACACAGGTATTATAATAGTTGAGAATTCCGAGGGAGAATTAGTTCCACAACGCACCACCACTGGATGGCGTATGTGTATTGATTACCGAAAACTCAACTCTGCTACTAGGAATGATCATTTTTCACTTCCATTCATTGATCAGATCCTAGAGCAATTGGCTGGCTAGAGCTATTATTGCTTTTTAGATGGATATTTTGGTTATAATCAGGTGGCCATTGATCCTAAGGATCAAGAGAAAACTACTTTCACTTGTCTATTCGGTACATTTGCATATAGACGTATGCCTTTCCGATTGTGTAATACGCCAGCAACATTCCAAAGCTGTATGATATCTATCTTTTTGGACATGGTTAAAAAGAATCTTAAGGTCTTTATGGATGACTTCTCTATTTTTGGATCCACATTTGAAAACTGTCTCCAACATCTGTCCCTAGTACTTTAGCATTGTACGGAAACTAATCTTATTCTTAGTTGGGAGAAGAGCCATTTTATGGTTCACCTGGGGATTGTTTTAGGACATATCATTTCAGAGAAAGGTAGTGAAATTGATAGAGCTAAAGTAGATTTGATCTCTAAATTGCCTCCTCTTACCTCCGTAAGGGGAGTAAGATTATTTCTTGGGCACGCTAGGTTCTATCGACGTTTTATTAAAGATTTGACCAAAATTTCTCATCCTTTGTGTAATCTATTTTCAAAGGATGCTCATTTTGTTTTTGACGAATCATACCTGCAAGCTTTCCATAAACTTCGCTCTCTTCTTTCTTCAGCTCCTATCATGAATCCTCCAAACTGGGCTCTTCCATTTGAGATCATGTGTGACGTATCTGATTATGCTATGGGCGCTGTCTTGGGACAGCGAGTAGATAAACTTCCTCATATTATCTATTATGCGAGCAAAACTCTTTTAGATGCACAATTGATTATACTACTACTGAAAAAGAGTTACTTACAGTTGTCTTTTCTTTGAACAAATTTAGATTTTAGCTGTTGGGTTCTAAAGTAGTGGTCTATTCTGATCATTCGGCTTTGAGACATCTTCTCTCCAAAAAGGAAACCAAACCCCGTTTGATTCGATGGATCCTCTTGTTTCAAGAGTTTGATTACAAAATCCGAGACAAGAAAGGGTCAGAGAATGTGGTAGCTGACTATCTTTCTAGAATTTTGATTGAGGATACTTCAACTTCACTTCTAGTTTATGATTCCTTTCCGGATGAATAGTTGTTTAAGGTTTCTCATACAGATTTACCTTGGTTTGCTGATATTGTGAATTACTTTGCAATAGGCAAAATTCCTTTGTCTTGGTCAAAGCAGGAAAAAAATCGATTCTTCTCTCAGATTAAGATGTACTATTGGGAAGATCCCTAACTTTTCAAGTATTGTGTTGATCAAATCATTCGTAGATGTGTTCTTGAGAGTGAGTTTCATAGTATTCTAACCTTCTGTCACAGTTTAGCTTACGGATGTCATTTTAGTGCAAATAAAACTGCAGAAATTCTAATCCCCAAAGCTCCAATTTCAAACTCTTCCAAATCTGAATCAATCCCAGCAATTCCATGACGAAGTTTACGTGGCTGTGGAAATCGAATAAATCAGCATCCAAGATCGAGTCGAACCCAGAAATGTCGTCAGACCCTCAAATTTGATTGGGGTGGCGTTGACGGAGGGCTGTGATTTGAGGGCTACCAAGGCCAAGATTGGACATTGGGGATTCGGAATCTGAGCCATAGACGTCGAAATTGTGGAAGTCGTGAAAGCAGTAAGGGGCTGAGTCAAGGGTCACCACAAAGTCGTCGTCTTCATGCAGGTAAAGGTATGATACGTTAGCCATTGACAACGATTTATTGTTAACTGCTTTTGTTGGAGTGGGTTTGTTTTCAGGTAAGGCACATTTTTTGCTGCGTTTTTAAGGGCGTTTCATGTCTGAAATAACTTTTCCCTCAAACTAAATAGATGTTCAAGGTGTGTGTTCTTCTTCACGATTTGAGTTTTTTTCTTTTCTTCTCTAGATAAGACTTTTTCGATTATCAGATTTTTTTTTTTTTTCATGGACCGAGTATTTTTCCGTTTCTCTATTTTTTTTAGCACTTATATGCATCAGATTTGTTTCATACGCGAAATCGTATAGGTCCTTCAGATTTGGGGAAGGGAATGAAGCTTTAGAGAAAATACAATTAAAGTTGCAAACAATTTCTTTAATAAAACCTATTAGTATGTAATTAAAATTTTGGTTACATTTTTTAGGAATTCTATTTTTTTTTTTTTTTTTTTTTTTTTTTGGTATTTTTAGGTTTCGATCATCTAGATTAGCGTTTATTGTTCTTCATTTACCTGATTCTTCTTCCTTTTTTATTTATTTATTTATTTTTTAAAAAAATTTAAGCTTAGATTTTTGGGTGCATTTTCTAATTTTGGATTTTATTCTCCTAATACTGATTTGTGAATCTGTCATTTGTACAAGTTGCAAAAAAGGTTGGGTAAACCACAGTTTCGACAAGATCAATCATCTTTGATTGCTTTGTCAGGTTGGAACTCCTTATTTATTTATTTTCCTGAACATTACCTTTTATTTATTTTCCTGAACATTACCAAATGTCGAACTTAGATTGCCTGAAGTATTTTATCACAAGATCTACAAGGTATTAACTGTATATATATTGTTGTTCTTTCTAATGTGATTTTTTTTTTATTTGTTGTAAAACTAAGTAATTTTTTCATCTCCAAAAGTTGTCTCTTAATCATCTCCAAAAGTTGGCATTTAAGATTTCCTCAAGGTTGTTGAATTTTGTAAACCACATTAGTTAACGATGTGACTTCATAGTGAATGCTAATTCTAATTTTTATTTTATTTTTTATGTACTAGCACAATATAGTTAAATATATATTGTTAAATCTACTGTCAGGAAGTGTGCCTTTCATCCATAGCTGTTCTTCATAGATTTTCAAGTGCTAAGGCTTCGTTCCAGAGAACCCCAGGTTCGATTTGTTCTTTAGGAACCATCAAGACCTGCTTCAATTTCATCTTGGTTTTGATCTTATCCATCTATTATTTCATTGCTTTGTTTGTCTAATTTTTTATTTTTTATCTTTCACTATTTATTTACATGTAATAACACAAATACATGTTTTTAGGGTTTCAAAATTGCCAAAAGCCCTAACAATTAAGGTGATTTATTACAGAGAGAACTTGCCATTTAAATCGGTGTATCTTCTTTTCTTCAATTTGTAATCAGTGAAGTTTGATTGCAGTCATTGGTTATAACAAATTGAAAGACGTATAGTGGATTTCAAGGCAAGATCTCAACATTTCCACAGGATCCTTCTCTTTCTTATTTCTTCCTCTCTCTATGTGTGTATATATATGTATGTATATTTAGATTTATATTATGTTGTTTCTTCAAGTTTTCTACTGGTTAATTCTTAAACATGACTAATTTGGTTTTATAAATAAAGATGGAGGCAAAAGTCGTTTCAAGAGAAATTGGTGTTTACGCTGATTGAAGGACTTCCACAGTTGAATATTGTGGTCTGGAATAGCGATACTAATGACTCCATTGGCAGTGAGTATCGCAATCTTTTAATTTTTTGAATTTCTTGATCTCTGTACTCGGTTTTATCTAAAATCTGGTGATCTCTATGGTGTCTTATTTAATTCTAGGGTTCATTTACAAAAATCCTTTCTCAAGGCTACAATGACTGCCCTGTCCACTTCAGACTAAAAATGACTGGTATAATCTTCTTGATTGAAGATCATTACTTCATGATTAGCTAAGGTTTGGTGAATTTTAAAATCGAGTAGTAAATTGGAACAATAATGTTGGTTAAGTTTAAGGTTGAATTTATAGACAATGCTTTTTTTTATAATCAAATAAAAATTTTGATAGTGGTTCTTATCACATATGACAAGTTTCAGGAAGTTGCAATAGAAGGCTATTACTGTTGGGAGTAAGCGCATTAACTTTGAGCCTATTCCCTGCAAATTCCCTTTTTGCTGAAGGTATAATGGTTTGTGGTTAAATTTGAAGAAAATTCTTAATGGCCACTTCAAGAATAACAGGAGATTTTCACTGTGAAATGTCTTTGTGGAACTTGGGTCACATATCATATAGTAATGATTAATACAGTATATACTTTGTTTTATTGGTTTGAGGACATAGTTGTTATATGGAAAAATTGTCTGATATGCAGTGCATGACCATATTCCATAGAGTGGTTATTTTATTCACTTCACTAACTGTATGTTGTTTATGAACATTTCTTCCTTTTCTAGAGGATTTTGTTCTTCAATTGAACTGTTTGTAGAATTTGATTGATTAATACATCTTAATTTCACTACTACTATAATTCTTTTGACACCTCTTAGCATTTTCGAGATGCACAAGGGTACATGACTTTATGGCAATAAGGTTATAGGTTTTTCAATATAAGACGTTAGAGAGAGGCACTGCATTTAGTTCCTTGCCCATTCTTTCCACCGCAAGTTTTTGACCAATCTTTCAAGCTTTAATATTAATTAAGTTTAGCATACATGCAACAGTGAGAATAGTGTTACAAGAGTGTAAGTTGCCTACTTTTGGTGATGATTTTAGTTATTTACAAGCTTGTTATGTACCTTATTACTTGGCGATAGTGCTGATTCATGGTTTTCATTCTATAATGGTGTGATAAAAAAAGTTTCCATTCCTATACATAGAGATCTTGGAAATGCAAATTTATTTGGTCAACTGGTTCAGCAGCTTGGTCAGCTTTTGAATTTCCAATACTTGTGTTGATCATAAGAAGAGTAGTGAGCAAAATGATTAGGTTCCAATCCAATGAACCATTACATCACCATTAAATATTGTCATATTTATATTTTATCTTCATCAATTTGATTATAGGTAATATACTAGCTAGTGTTATTGTTCAGTTTTTATTTGTTCGCTTTTTCAAATTGTAGATGTTTAAAATGGGGACATACCTTTCAGGAAGGTGCATTTCAAGGTTGGTTGATATATGAAAGAAAATTAGGATTGGGTTTCTCATATACATTTCTTACCTTAAATGGAGTACTGCTCAATGTGGGAAATTGGAATTTTATGCATGGTTAAGGGTTCTTTTGAACATTTAAAGGGTTCTTTGTTAAATTTAGAGATTATCATTGCTTTCATCACTTTCTTAGCCCCATTCTCTTTTTATCATTTTATCATTGTAATGTCTTCATTTGGAGTCATATAATTCTCTTTTATTTAATCATGTGTGTAACATAAAGATATCACATTTAGCCTTTCTTATTTTTCACTTTATTTTTTATATTTTTTTGTTCTCTTTCCTAACTTCTCTCACTTCTATTGGATTCAAACATATAAGAGATGCATGGAAGAAGCTACTTGGAATGGCTGGAGCAATGATGGCTGACTATGAGGATGTTGAAACCATTTGATGTTAAAACTGCTCGCGAATACTTTGTAGTATTTTCTTAAAAAATTGGAGATTTATGGTTTCATTATGAAATTAAGAGCTTGGAGTTTTTATAGATTTTATAGCGCTATTGTGAGAATTCTTCTTCTAAACTTGATATTGGTATAGAACATATTAACTGTGTTCTTTTTACTCAGAATTTGTCCCATTTGATTCAGAAAAGTTGCATACACAATCTCTCTCTCTTATTTGTTCTTCATACCTTGGACTTGCAATATAAAATGTTTTAATCACATAAATCAAGCAGAGTTCAAAACAAAAACATAATAATAAAAATAAAAAACCAATTTTCAGCTAAAAATTTATTAGGGATAGTAAATACTGTCACGAATAATGTATGTATTAGTGACAGTCTAAAAAATGTCCCAAATATATAACTTGTTAGTGACGGTACGTTTCGTCCCAAATAACAGTCCCTAATAACTTTTAATGACGGGGTTATTTGGGACAGTAACTACCGTCACTAAAGACCCATTTTTTGGTAACAGTCATTTTTTACCGTCACTAAAGATCTTTTAAGACGCTCTAACTAGTGACGGGCGATTTTGATTTTTAGTGATGGTTTAAGGGCTTTTAGTGACGGATTTGACTGTCACTAAAGACCTATTTTCTTGTAATGTGTGGTTTTGTCTATTTCAGGTCAATAAGGTTCAAACAGGATAAAAATGGTTTCTTACAACCGTTTTGGAGTCAAGCATAGAGTTTCGAAAAGTAAAAAAAAAAAAAAAAAATATTAAATAAATTAATTTTTGAATCGATCGAGAATTTTTTGATCAATCGAAGAAATCTTCAATTGATCGAAAATACGCTAGTAGCGAACTGTTTTATTCTCGCACATCCGAACTCTACCTACCACATAGTTGCGGGATTAGATATTTTAAAGGCTTACTTTTTGACTTGTTCACTACTCGAAGGACCATGTATTTAAAGGGAGTTGAACCATTTCGTAATCTATCTTTTGTCTTCAATTTTATTTCATTGTAATAGTTAGTTTCTCTCTCTAGAAAAGTTAAAGATTAGGGTTAGAAGAAAAGAGAAGAGTGGAGTAATAAGCGCCGAATATTGTATATTCAAGCGCCCTAAATTGCATTAGTAAAGTCCATTGTATGTTAATTTATGTAGATTATCTTCATTTCTATGTTTTTATGCATTTTCAGGTTCCTTGGCCCAAAAGGAGCAAAATTAAGGTGTTGTGGATTTTTTATCAACAATGTGCTCAAAAGCTGAATTTCAGGCAGCAGTGGAACTCGATTTTGATTGCCACTTTTGACCCAGAAATCTCGAGATCTGGACTTCCATTATAAAATGGCATATTTAGAGCTCTGAATTATCTTTCTAAATCTTCAAACGGTTTGTCATTCGGAGCTCGGAGCAGAGAGTTATGGCCTTGTTACCAGAGGTGCGCAGAACTGCCAGGCAGCAATGAAATTCTGCCTTGATCTTCATTTTCGACCAACCATTCTTGAGAATTGGATCTCCACCAAAACATGAAGTATTTAAAGCTCTGAATTAGCTTTCCAAATCTTCAAACGTTTTGTCATTCGGAGTTCGGAGCGCAAAGTTATGGCCATTTCATCAAAGTAGGTCCGGGCGGACCAAATGGAGAATAGGCATTCTGCCCAATTTTCGAGTGCTCGAGGCCCAAATTCGAGCACTCGAATTTAGGGCAGTTTGTCTCCGAAAAATTACTATTTCAGCCACTTGTTTCTTGGTTCCTTCATTTTCTAATTTCCTTCTTTATGAGGTGGTTGGAGATGTTCCTAGGGGGGAGAAAGAGAGCCTAGTTTGGTGGAAGATAAGAGGGATAAGAGCCACACATCTCCTAAGGAGTTTTTGGATCAGATTTTGGGGAGAGAAGAGAGCAAGGAAGAGGGGGTTCTTGGAGCAAAAAGAAGGGAGCTCGAAAATGGAAGGAGGATCCATGCTTCTTCCTCTATCTAGGGCCACCATGGGTAACTAAACCCTCTTCTAGGGAGGTGATGAAACTCCTTCTTGTAAGCATGTCTTGTTTTTGATTTACATTTGGGGATGTAATGTATATATATGACCTCTCCATGAACTAGAGCTTTATTTGATGTGAAGAGCTTCAATGTCTATTAATGATCATTTTAAGTTTAAGATCTTGTCTTAAGATTGTTTCCTCTTATGATTATTTTGCTTCCATTTTCATAGTGACAATGAAGATGAGTTTATGGAAATGTTTTTATTGGCATGATGCTTGGGAAATTTGATAGTCTATAGCTTAGGGTTCTCTTTTGATAGATTATTCTTGATTCCTAATGGCATGTGCTTCTACTATGTGATTAAGGGCTTGATAACTCTATGCTTAGTGAGTATGTCTAAGGTTGCAACCTAGTTTAGGTAACCAAAACATGCAATACTTTGATAAGTTATTCTTGCCTATTGATTTCATAAAAAATTCTTGAAGGTAATGTAGCAATTTTATGTTATTGCATTTCATGGTTATGTATATATATTATTCCCCAAGTAAATCATGTATTAACATGCTTATGGATAGGAGGTGGATTCACTTCCCTAGCCCTTTTCTACTTGTATCTCACTTCTTCAATTTCATTGCAATCTATTGTTTTATGCATTTTAATTTCTTAGTTTAGTGACAAACACACAAACCCTTTATAAACCCCTCATCACTCTAAAATGACTTTAAATACTTAGGTTGCCTTAAGACTAGCGCAGTCCCAGTGGTTCGACTTACCCGTCCAATAGCCCTATTTTACAATGATTCGTGCTATTGCGAAGAGGGTTGATTTATAATTGATTTCGACCGTTGATCATGGAGGCACCAAGAACACATCTCAAAATCTAAACATACTCTCTCTCTAGAATTCGACAAAAAAGAAGAGAAAGAAGATGGAGCCATGTTTGGGGATTGCCCTTGAGGGTCAAGATCACACCTACCTCCTCCATGATTGGCTAGACTTCTCCTTGGGACTTGGATGAGCCCCAAGTTTGTGATCTAAACCTCTATCTTTTTCATACTTTTTGGGGAATAATATCTTGTGATTAGTGTTTTAACCTTGTGAATTTAATCAATCTTGGGTTCTCCTTTGAATTCTATGGATTAATTCTTTCTATTGATTCTCTATATGATTATATGTTGTCTTTGTTGGGATTTATATGTCCTAACATAGCAAATTCCTATTTGAATTAAAGTGACATATATTCCTAACGTATCGAAATATTTATGCTTTATACAATTGGTGAATTCAATGTATTATATTTCGATTCATTATGGAATTGATAGTGTCCACTTGATTACAAGATATATTTATATATGTATGTAATGGCGATCAATACATGAATATAAATAGTAATCATAAATAGTTTATAGTCGGTAATTATGGATGGACTCATTATTAACTAAAACTTGAACTGGATCTGCGTTAGGTTGAGATGTATTGCGAGAGCTGTCGTATACAATTGCTCCCTATCACTGTCATAGCATTTGAATCTTAAGCATGAGAGAAGTATAGACTCTTTTATTAATTAATAATTACTTTGATTTATTCGGCGGATACTTTGGGATCCTTAGACCGACACTTTGGGTAGTTATGTAATTAATAGTTAGAGGGTTATATTCTCAATATTTGCATTAATGCTACTTGTATTTATTTTGTATTGATTATGGTTGATTACAAATTAAATTCGAAGGCCTTCGTGTATTTTTAGACAAAATTATTTATTATATATTTGTTTATTTAAATTATTATTATTTTTTGTCAAACAAATGTTTTATTGTGATTGAGCCAGAAATAATCAAGGTACCAAAATAAATATATTAATTAAGTAGTCGGATTGATGGCTTTATTTATCCGATAACTAATTATACATAGAGAGGTCAAAGTGCAACATTAACTTAGAGGTTATTTATTATTTAATTAGAGTTCAATTAATTTCTTTTAGTGGAGTAGAAATTAATTAATTAATTAATTTAAATGGGTCCATAGACTAGGCCGATTATTAATTCATTGTAGCCAAGAAAATAATAAACCCAATAGGATTCTCAGTCATAGCCCAACTTGATATTGGAATCCTATTAGATTTGAGATATGTGAATTAGAGATGGAGAATGATTTATTGTTTCCTTTTCTTATATTTATGTTGCCTATATATACATTGGTTCATGTATATTTTAGGAGAGACTTTTGGAAGACAAGGAAAAGGAATATATATATTTTTTCTCTCTCTAAATTTTAGGGTTTGCTTTCTCATCTAATGGAGGCTCCCACAAGTCTAGATTTACAAAATCATTCATGGAGGCTTATTGGTGATTCCTAAAGGCAAACTATTACCAAGAAGATGGAGATCCAAGGCAAAGGCATCTAGCAAAGGGATCTATAATAAGTAAGAACGTTCACTTTAGATGAGAGATCTAAGGTTTACTCAAATATTTGATATAAGTATTCAATCTATTAATTGAATGATACATTATATTTTATTTTTGCATAAAACTTGTCTCTATGTGATGAATCAAAATCTGTGTATGAAAGTCCCTCAAAAAGTTTTAAAACTTACACGTTTCCCAATAATGATATCAGATAATGGTTTGATTCATTACTAGAGATCATGTTTTTAATTAATATTATCATTCATGGATCCAAATTTATATATGCATTTGTATATATTAATATATGATCATGATGCATGTATATTTGTGATTGGATGATATTGATGTATGTTTAGGCCATGGATGAAGCTTGTAGGGTAATTAAATGCAATTTTATCTTTGGATGAATGTAATTAAGGTTTTAATTTAGCCATTTGAAAGTTTAATAATGTAATTTAATTTTTTTTCATTGTATTTCAAATTGTAAAATAATTTAAAACCATGTAATCTTCATCAAGGAATGTTATGAAGCTTTAAGAAGGTCCAAGAGAGTTTATTTTGGCTTCAGGAATTTTCTGGAAGTTTTTAGAATTTTTCTGAATTTTTTTCAGAATTTTTTGGGCCAAATAATATTTTCTGGGAATTTTTATTTAATTTTCTGTAATTTCGGCAATTTTTCGGCGACTAGAGGGTCGCCGACGGCAAGAGCAGCAATAGAATAGGGGAGGCTGATCCGGTGCGGCGCGGTGCACATGTGCCCGCACCGGCAGCCCTTAGTTCTTCATCATGCGGTGAAGAAGATCCAGTGCGGCGCGCCTATAGTGCGCTCAAGGCGCTTCCAATCAACAGGCGCGTGTAGCTCACGCGCAGATGTAGCCAGACCCAAAAGGCGCTTGCCAGCACGTGGAACGCGCTTGCCATTTCCAGACGCGTATAACACACGCGTGCAAGCACGTGACACGCGCAACAAGGCCCCATCAACGCGTGCAGGCACGTGGGAGCACGTGGCACGCGCTGGGAACCTTCTCGAGTTTGTGCAGGCGCGTCAGATGTGTTTTAAGGTGTCCAATTGTGTCTGATGGCGCGTGGGGTCGGGTTACAGCCTCCTGTAGGTAAAGCCTATGATGAACCCTCGCACAATAATTAGAGCATTTAAATGTTAAAAGCTAAATCTATTGGCCATTTTAATTTGCTTTATCTGTCATTTATTTATGTATGTGATGCATGGAATAATTAATTGCTAATTATTATTATTCATTCATTGGATCCATGATTTTTTATTTAAATGACTTGATTTATATTAATTAAATTATGAAAATTAATTGGATTTGATTACTAATTAATTAGAGGGCACTTATTGGGAAACAAAAAATTATTTTTGTAAATTATTTTTAAAGTGTGCCTTAAATTAAATATTAGTGAATCATTTAAAAGTTTAGATATTTTCTAAATTTAATTGGATTAAAATTAAGGCGTTTTGCATGCATTAAATCATAAATTGAAACCCTTGAGAGGGAGCGGGAATTTTTATACATTACCCCATGGCCTTCATTTTTATAACTATTGTAATTAGATCTTCAAAAATAAGGCCCCACGTATAATTTGAAGAGCCTTAATATTACAAGAATAATTGTCTCATGAAAATAAAAATATTAAATGTTCATTGTAATTAGATCTTTAAAAATAAGGCCCTGCGCATGATTTAAAGAGTCTAGATTATAATGACAAGATATTTAATATTTTATTTTTCATTGGAGCATTAATAACGTTATACACTCAATCTAAAATCAATAGTGTTAACTCCCCAACGGAGTAGTCTACACTAGGTGATTTTAGAAAGGCTAAACAAAATTGGGAATCATTTCATATGATAGACAAGACATTGTCTTAAGATATATGGAAATGATGGGATTTGCCCGCCAATAGCAATAATGAATTTCGCCAACCGAATGAGTTATTGGCGTATTGGTTATCCGATTTTTCATG